AAGTGGATATCGTCCTCTTTTGGAAGGCCAACCAAAGTAGTTTCGCTTTCACAACGAAGCACACAGCGTCTTCACGACATGGCTGCAGTGTCAACAATACTACAGCGAGAATAAAAGTTACGCCTTCTTTTTTTGCGTGAACATTTGGGCGGTGTTATGCAAATCTTCCCACATCGTGACGTAGACATGTGGGGGCGTGTTAGAACGAGCCGTTTTAGGTGGGCGTGGCTGACTCTTAACTTTTATAAAGAATATCTCTTTGGATTTGAGACTTTAGTCTTTGCAACTTTACAGATCTTCTTTATGCACCAAGAGCTTGTAACACTCCAAAGAGAAAGGAAACACTGAAATCGCATCATATGACCCCTTTAAATGGTTATGTAGCTTTGAATATCTTAGAACCATTATTAGAACCATTTTTTTGTTATAAACTTTATGAAGTTGTGTTCTAACTCTTTCAGGATTCAGAAAAAAACCTCAACTATGTCCCTAACTATATCATCATGCTCCCGTGACACATCCTCCTCCTCCTCCTCCTCCTCCTCTTCATCATCATCATCCTCTGCTACAATACAGCAGAGGCACTCAAGTTTAGTACAGCCTGTCTGCATTAGTCCTCAAATGGTACGATCAAAAATACATAACATGAATAAGTTTTTCATTAAGACCTGAAAAGTAGTCAAGTTTTGCAACATAAAATTGTGCCTTCAAATCACAAACCTTTTTTTTTTTCACAAAGCTACATGCATATACACACTCCACATTTCAGTTCATTTGATTTATGTTGCTCAAATATTGAGCAGCTGTCATACTGTTATATTGGAGCTAAAAGAAGTAGTATGTTGATCTGCCAGGGTTTCTGATGTGGAAACTCATGCAGATGCATAATGAAATTATGCATTTAATAGTTAATGACCAAATGGATCAGTTTTGCTATTGTGCTATTCATGTTTTTATAAAAGTTTACAATGATGTAACAGATGATAAAATGAAATAAATATTTTTGATCAGGTTAGATACTGATTATTAATCATTCAAACTCCTTTCTTGTCCTGGTCACTCACTCTCAGAAAAAAAGGTACAAAAGCTGTCACTGTGGCGGTACCTTTCCAAAATGTTCTAAAATGTACCATTTAGGTGCCAATATGAACACTTAGGTAAAATACGTACCTTTAAGGTACTAAAATGCACGCTTTAGGGGTAAATAAAGTATACAATTGTGTACATTTTGAAAGGGTACCGCCCCAGAGACAGCTTTTGTACCTTTTTTTTCTTTTTCTGAAAGTGTACTTAATCAGCTCAACTGTGTCTTCATCTGACTGTGCAAGTATGAAATACAGTAGATTATTTCTTTAACCACATTCAAGCATTACACTTGATGTGATGCGTGGTATTTAAAAAGTGATGTGTTGGTATTTAAAAAGTGATGAAGCAATCTCACACACATCCACCGTTTTTACTCTTTTGTCCTTTTACGGCCACTTCCACCAAACAGTCAAAAAAGAACTCCCTTGCCATTGGTCAGTTTTTCGCGGGCAAGTTCACTACTGTAAATTGATTTACAGTAGTGAGGAAATACAGTAGTGACCGTATATTTTCCCATAATCCTTTGCTGTTTACGGTCAAATACTGTATACACATTTTACAGTATCTTACACTGTAAAAAATGACCGTGAATTTAACGGTAAAAGACTGTAAAAATGCTACAGTAAAAACCTGTTAAATGGTTAACGGTAAATTCCCCTACTATATACGGTGAAAAACTGTATTGGACATTACATGTATTGGACATTAATTTTACGGTAGTATACCATTTTTGGAAGT